TTAATTAGCGGTCGGATTTGATCGGTAAAGACCGCCAACACTTGCCAAGCGTGAACCTCGTCCTCCTCGTTGGCATCACAATGGCGCGCTTGTGGGCTGTCAACTTGGTGCAGGCCATCTATAAGATTGAAAAGGTTGACTATTAGAACAAGGATAATTTTTGCAATAGATAATAGACATAATATAAGCAATAATTTTATAGTAAATTAAAAACAACAAAATTAAGGAGATATGATGCTAAAAACGTCCATTTCTATCTAGGCTGATTGTCCTACAGTCAGTTATAGCTTTGATACCAATTTGTCGCACCCAATTTTGCATAGCAAAATCAAGTACTCATATATGTGCGCCTAGGATGTTCAAACACACAGATAATCTCAAATTGCAATAATATCAAAGTAAAGTACTTTATTACATCGCATATCTCATCACATTGTCAACACATAGTCTTGCTCATTAGCAACATTATTACATAAAGCGAAAAACTAAACCCATGTCGCCACATGGACTCGAAGTGGTGGACTCCAAACTAGAAATCCTCATATATGACATCTGTTACCCATCCGCGATTTTCATTGAATGTAAAACAAGTGTAAGCGCACCATGCTTAGCAAGTATAATAAAGGGATCTATGAGGCTCAAAGGCTTGACACAGTTTGACTGCGGTAAACAATTTTAGTTGGTCAAGTTCTATTAAACCTGTGTCACTACTTTAGTGAATAAACCAACCCAAGCTGTAATAATAATTAGTCAAGATTAAATCATTCCCAACCAACCATAGTAGCCACTAATCATGAAGGATCTAGTCCGCTCGTGTTCGTGAGCCCAGCTGTTATAACAGGTTAAAGAATTCTGCAGAATTTGTACAACTTTACTAATGCCGGGGTTTGCAAAGCGCACACCGCCTCTACTAAGGAAGTGTGGCAAGGTTTCACTACATAACCCTTCGCTAGTCACACTAACAAGTCATAGCTGCTAAGGTTTCAGCCGTCTAGCCGTATGCGGCCCTCCTCCAGGAGTGGCACTCATGGTCGCGGCATAGTACACACCCTGGTAGGAAAAGAAAGATACCAACTAGTGCCCCCCTCTTGCCCTTACGGGAACCTACAGACGAGCTAGTACAATCTAGTTACCAGGCTAAAGTCAGAGCCATTTGACACTCGGGTTGTACGGAACCTCCTGGGTGGCCGCTTCAAGATTGAGTCCTTATGGAGAGGCACTAGAGCACTCAAAACCCAATACTCTAGTCCCCTAAACAGTTGCTAAAAAGCACAATTTTAACATATTGCATATAACATTAGTCATGTTTATTATTTTATTTGGTTATGCGCTGCAGCATCTATTCCAAAATGCATCCTGAACCATAGGTAACAAGGATATGTGATACAAGAGTAATCTAGGTAAAGTCCTTAAAGGCGATTGAAATTTAAACACATGCATATGTATGAATTATAGAGTTTATAGGTACAAGGGCCTTTGTTACACTTGCCTTCCTCAATGTTGCCTTCTTGGTACTGTTCACCACCCTGCTCCTCGACAAAACTCATACTGATCGCCCTTTAAACGTGATCCAAATCCCCAATCAAGCATCCATACCAATCATCACATGCATACAAATACATTTTTATTAGAATAGTACACCAAGCAGTAAAAACAGTGACTGAAAAGCTATAAAACTAATCTACATACTGCTACGAACACATGAGCGAAAAGAATCACCCTAATCGGATTTAAAACATGAAAGTTATGTATAAACAAGATTCAATAGCATTTTTGTAAATAAACCAAACTCAAATTTGAATTTAAACGATTTAAATCTGAATTCTAACGTGCTCTGGATGGCGCGTCCTATTTTCAAAAATACAGGGTCTAAAACAGAAGAAAATAGGACTAAAAACAAATACATTTGAACAATATTGGACTGCGGGTTTATTTTTATAAAACCAAGGGGCTAAAGCGCAAATTGCGCTCGGCTGACCGCGGTTGACCGCATCGCACGCTGATGTGGCCGCCACGCGGCTGTGCAGCATTGGTGCGGTGCACCATGTGTTCGTGGACCCGGTGCGTGTGTTGGTGTGGGCCAAGTCCACGGGCTAAACGGTGGACCGGTTACACATCCCGAAGGGGTACGCGATCTCGACCGCTAATCAAAGAACGAACGAGCACAGAAGAAAGGGGGAAGTTTCCCCACCGGCGCACAGTGCCAATGGCGACAGCGCCCTTGACGCCGACAAGCCGAGCACGACGGCGGTTGCCGGGATGGCGATTCCGCCACCTCGGTCCAAACCAAAAGCACGGGAGTGACGAGCGGGATCTCACGAACTCAAGGGGACTCAAAGGAAGAGTGAGGAAGCACATCGAGATGATGGCCCTGTGGCGGCACCATGGCTGGCATTCACTAGAGCTCGCCTATACGGCATCCTAGGGCACTAAACATGAAATCGAAAGGATGGGAAGGACAAGGGGTATACCGTGGGTCCGATGAAGGTGTTCTCGATGTCCGGAATAGCTCCAAAAGGTCCGGCGACGGGCTACGGCGGACTGGAAGAAGAAAAGGCCACCGGTGAGCACGATTGCGAACAAAACCATGATGGAAATGGGAAAAGAGATCACCTACGACCGTGTCGTTACCTGGCAAAACTCCCAAGCACGCTCGCGACGGCGATAGGGCTCTAGACCTGGCGGATTGGAGGCAGCAGTGTGCGTGCGTGCGAGCAGAGTGAAAACAAGAGAGGGAGGAGCTCGACATGGGCTTTATAGGGTGGAGAGGTGCGGTAGAAGAGGAAACTGGCGTGGCAGTTACTTCTCGGGCATCAAGGCCCTACTTGATGGCGTCCACGAAGGCCGGCCTCCTTCAATCGGATCTTCAAAGAGGGATTGAAGATGGCGATGAGTGCCGTATCCAGATTCCCGGCTCGAGGAAGGAGAAAGGATGGCCGGCTGACATGCGGGACCCAAGCGACAGAGAGAGAAAGGGGAGAGAGCGCGGGCTAGTGCGGCTGATAGGTGGGCCCCACCATGCAGTGAGAGAAAGAGGGAGGGCATGGTGGAGCAGACCTCTCCACTCGACAGCCGAGTGGGCCATGGGATGGACCAAGGTAGCCGTGGAGCTGGGCTTGCGCGCGCGAGAGAGGAATGGGAGGGAGAGTGTGGGAGCGGGACGCCATCGGCCCCAAGGCCGGAATCCGGGTGCGGGATGGCTTGGGCTGGCTTTGGTGATGGGCTAGAAAGAGAGAGTGGAAAAACATAAAAGAAAAACCTTTTTCATTTTCTGTTTTTACAAACTTGCCTCAAATTCAAGCTAGGTTTGAATTCAAAGCCACTCAACTCTAACCCTACACTCAAACAAAAACTATGCACCGGCATGAATACAACAAACATGTTTCTAAACCTTATAGTTAATTTTAATTAACCAAAAATTATTATTTGACCTAGGTTAAAATACACACAAAAAATTAATTAAGTGCACAAATTTAAATACTAAATTGTAAATAAATTTTTAGGGTGTTACACACGCTCCATGCGGGGCCCGCCCCACCCAGTGACAAGAGGGGAAGGGGGATGCACCTCCGATTCTGAAGAACTCGGCCACGACATTGTATGGATGCCCTACCGACGCTGGGAGGAGGACATACCAAGACAATGCAGCAAAAGGTGGGGAGGAGAGATGCAACACCCGATCTGCTTTTGAAACACCGAAATACAATAGTTGCAACATATGTCTGAAGGCAGATGAAAGACTTGAAACATGCTTCTGAAATACTTGAAAAAACACATGAAAACACTTGAAAACCATTGCAACCATACACAATATCTAAATAAAACACATGCAATGTATGTGTGATACATATGCAACATCTAGATAAACACACTTGCAACATGCGTTCGAAAAACACAGATGAAACATTGGTGACAGACTTTTGCAACATACGTGTACAACCATTACAACATATGCAACATCCCGATCTGCTTTTGCAACATCCATCTGAAACACTTGCAACATACCTCTAAAACATCTGAAACACTCGAAACATATGCTTGCAACATGTCTCTGAAACAATTGCAACATATGCAGCATGTGTAATATCCCCGATCTACTTTTGCAACATCCATATGAAATAATTGCAACATACATCTGAAACGCCTGAAACACTTGAAACATACATATACAATATAGGAGAGGAGAAAGGCTGGGCTAGTCGATTCCGGTCGTCCGGGTCAGAGGCAGCGGCGAGCGGCTGTGAGCGAGCACCAGCGCCACCAATACCGGGCTTAGCTCGGCGGCGACGGTGGGGGATGGGGGGCGAGGAGTGCCATAGCCGCCCGGGTAGGGGGAGTTCGGTCACCGAGGTGAGAGAGAGCGCCACCGGGGGTGGGGAGGGCGCTGCGTCAGGGTAGGGGAGAGCTGCCCACTCCCCTACAACACCGCCACGCCACCTCTATGGATCTCGCTCGTGCTCCATGGATTTCGCCGAGGTGGGGGAGAGGGCCACCGGATCTACAGCATTGGAGACTCCTAGTGGGTGAGGACGCTAGGGTGAGGAAAGGAGCCACCAGGGTTGGGGAGGAGGACGCCAGGGTGGGGGAGGGCGCGCGCCGGGGTGGGCAAGAGAGAGAGCGGAGCAACAGGGAAGCACGAGAGAGAGAGAGAGTAGTTCGTTAGGTAGGCGGCACATGCAAAGCGAGGCTAGACAGCCAGGAGTTGATTTTGGTTTTTATTTATTTAGACAAACGAGACCTACAGGCTTCCGGACGTCTTAATGCTAGCATTACCCATAAATTATACATGAATACGTCCTGTTGCAATGGCGTGGACATATTTGCTTGTCAGACAGGAAACGGAAACGACCAAACACACTCGACTTCGGATCCACTCTTTCCCTGCGCTTTCATTTCCTCCCTTCATGTTCAGCGTATTTACAAGGCGCCGATACAGGGCCCACGTATCAGGGCACAGTGGGCAGCGATACAGGCCTTGCTTAGATACGCACGTGGTTCGCTCAAAGCGACAGCATCCGGTGTATGCTCTGCTTGGATGACGCCTCCGGCGTCAAGTAAGGCACGATGTACTTCTTCATGTCGCTTCTGGAGATACGCAGGTGACCTCCTGGCACAGACACGAATTTAACACGCCCAGCCTCGTCCAGGGTCCTCAAGCCAATCCAATCTTCTGTATACAGCTTCGTCTATGCACACGGTGAGCGAATGCATTTTGTTAGTACCAGAGTCACAGAGTGAGACATAAAATAAAATTGCCAGAACATCGCAATGGAGAATAATCTACGGCAGTTTATGCACCACAGCACCAGTATGACTGTATGAGTTAACCAAAGAAAGCAAGCCACTCCTAACTCATGACGGTACAAGGAGGAACAATCACCTCTTGAGGGGGCAGCACTGGGCTAAAGGCTCCATCAGGGTAATAACCAAACCATGCTGTTTCCCGAGGTATTAATACTGCATCGTCCTCAAACTGGAGCAGTTTAAAAGGATAATAATTTTAGCAACCTTCAGCAGAAGCATCTCAAAATTTGAAATACATAAGAAAAAGAAAAGTTTGAGAACATGCATGTGCTAGCTGTGTCTATTACTGCTAGATTATAGTTGATGCTTGATGTTTATAAAAAATGTAAGCAAAGAAGTCATGTTATAGTTGATGCTTGATGTTTATACAAAATGTAAGCACAACACTATGATATTAGAGACGTTTGTATATACATGTAAAGAATTATTTCATGAGACGTGCATTTGCTAAAGAGCTTTACAAGGGTACATGCAAATCATAAAACTGTATATGAGATAAGCCAGCTTAAAATGAACCAATCTTTGTTCAATTAGCATGGGCACATCTGCATATGGTAGCTTTGTTTGTTTTGGTTTCTGAGGCTAACAGGAACAGCTATGTTTTCCTTTGTTCACTGCATTAGCTGAAGGACTAGGTTGTAATAGCCAACTCGGCACATACTATGCTATGGAATATAAGGACCCAGAAAGTGTTAAAACAGCGTGCAACATTTGATAAGTTCAAACTAACCATAATCAGTACCAAGTTTTCCAAGCTGCTGAATCTTTCTTTATAGGTAGTATTTCTTGCACTTGGGATCTCATTGTTAAGCTTTGGAAGAAATCTGCAACCTTTTAAATAATCTTCCATATCCTGAACAACAATCAAACATACCATCGTGTAAACAAAAAATAGCTACAATTTACTTTAGAGAAAGATGGTAAAAACATCTAGTTTTGGATGTGAAACTTTAAGATTCATGAAATGAGGCATAAAGGTTTTGCAAGGTGTCATGCTCGGCCATACATAACAAAGACGCCATCGCCAGACTGGACAAGAGACCCGAAGGGGCATGCCAAGTTCTAGTGGCTAGGAGTCGAGTTTGTGCAAGTTGTTTACAGTTTGTTTACATTTGTTTGGAGTCATCGTGTTAGTTAACAGATAGTTCGAGTTAGTTATGTACAGGAGAGGGAGACTATATTCAGATTGTAATCCTTGAGTTAATTACTCAAGAACTTAAACCCCAGTTCCTTTACGGTGCCCAAGTTCAAGCACACGGTTCAGAGTCTCTGCCTGTGAATCAAGAACATAAGAACAAGAAAGAACACAGTCTGAAAACTTTTGATGTGATTAAGCTCACAAGTTAGAGTTGCACAAACCGATGAACTGTGACACATTAATCAAAGCAAAACACAGACCCTAACTTAGATGACGGTTACTAAATAGTGTTAGGGGACAAGGACCCCTAGATGCATCTTAATGGACCCCGACACTATACATGGCCAACGACCCAAAAGATGGTAATGCAGCACCCTAATAGATTCTGTATGCCCACTTGTTTCAACGATTTCTGTTGACTCATAAGGAATTTGGATGTGGAACCGGTGCCATTGGAAAGCTATCTCCTTAGCTTTTCGTGTATATGTAGAATATCGAAAAAAGAGTTTGTATGTGACTTGGGCGACAAGTGTGGGCTACTCCTAGAGTCCAAGGTGGACTTCAACACTTGGCTTGGATGCCTAAGTTGGTCTTCTAAGGAGATGGCCAATGACTATGGAACGTCCTAGTTGGGGCATGCTCTAACTTGAGCCAGGTCCCAAGGTGATTACAAGCCCCAAGGTCCAATAAAAGGTGATGTGGCGCCTAGCTGAAACAACACCAACATGTTGTGATTATTTGGAGGTTTTGCCGACATGATATTGAGGTGGGACCAGATTCATTTGAACAATCAAGTATTCATGGGCCTCAATCGCACTTTGCATGGAAGAGTTATGGCCTTCCCAATATAGTACTCTTAGGCGAAGTGAACCGACTGTTGGGTTTCAATGGCCTTGTACTCCAAAATGGGTCTAGCGCATGGCGTATCTATGGCCCATTAGTAGTATAAGCCATAGAAAGTGTTTTTCCAAAGCGCACATCATCACCACCTTTGTTCCTAAGAACATTGAAAGTATCAACATTAGGTAGCAACAAATTCTTACTGATATAGTTATGCAAACATAGAAAAGAGCTCACCTTATATTCAACGATCGTATCGCTAGGTGTCATGTACTCATCATCTCTGCCACTAACAACTTAGGTTGTTAAGCTTCTAGGTCGGGTTGTTAATTAGTTCTTCTAACAGGGGCAGATGTAATTAATCTTTAAATGGGGTGTGTCGATGTGGGTGTTGTAACACTATCTTCTTCTATTAATGCAATAATATGCAGCTCTCCGTGTTCGAGAAAAAAAAAGAACTCTACTAGCAAACAACCACCGCAGGATACACCAAAAAGTAAATATTGTTGAAATAATATTTGTAACTATCAAGCACTCTAGTCCTTATAGGATCCCATAGACACACAAAACTCTTGCACTAGTTCATGATGTAACCTCCTAAGACTAGATATCAGACTAAACTATATAATGACAGTACATGGTGACAAGGAGGCTAAGCCATTCCAACTGATTTCACAAATATATTGGACCCAAACCCTAGAGCACACTCTATACCATGCCAAGGAATGGAAGGGGGAAAAAGGAAGAACACTCACAGTGGGTATCTTTAGGTAACCACTAGGGGCAAGATGTGCCTGTAATTTCACAACCCTCAATTAATTTACTTACTGCACAGAAAAGGCTGTCTAATGTCTTACAATAATAACTGCAGTACAAAAACTGTGACATTGCAGCACAAGTTATACAAACCTGCACGTAATCTGAATATATCTCTGATTTAATCAGATCATCAATAAGAATACAAAGAAACCCAAACTGCAAAGAAAGGAGAAAAAGTTCAGTAGCAGAACAACAACAACAACAATGATAATATGTAAACAATGCTGGTTTCAAAATTCACCTCAGTACCAGAAGCTGCATTATTAATACTAAGTAGAAAACATTTTGGGAAAAATGGTTCTATACTAGAGGCAGATACACACTCTTTAGATGATACCACTCAACTTGATAGGTTCACTTCAATGCCACTCAATTTATTCTTCTTGTGACTGTACCAATCAAAACTACCGTCTACCAAAGACTGCTTTTGAAGTTGCTGGTACATCATTGGCATGCCCTAACAAGGTCAAGCAGAGAGAACACCAATTACAGTGACTGACAGGTAGCTTTGGTGGTTTCTCTCACCGGTAGCAATTGCTCCTAGCTATGCATGGGGGAGAAGCTCCTGATCAAGTTGAAATTTTGATAGCATTAAGATGAGAGTCCAGGAGGGTGGGTTGTAGAAAATTGGGATTGCATTAATGATAGAAGGCTGGTGGCATCAGAGATATGGCAATGCAAGTGCCAACTCCAATGATCGAGAATTTTAATGCACACTAACTTCATTAGATGCATGCTCTGCTACTTAGCATTTATTGATCCTAGACTCTCACTTCCATTCATTTAGCCTAGGCATTAATTTGTGTGGTTGTATCGATTGGATGTTGCATGAGAGAAGTAGGATTTCTTGATTCCATGCTTGTGAATTCATCTTGTTCAGTTATAGCTCCTCCCAGGAGGCCAGGACTGGATCATTGTTTTAACTGAATAAGATGACAGTTATTTCTTGATGTAGGTTGTCATCTTATTCAGCTATTTCTCGATTACATTTCTACTAGTTAATTTCTTGTCCTCATCTTATTCAGTTATATCTCCCCATTACTTGTTTTATGTAGGTTGTCATTTAGCCAAGGCATCAAGAAGTTTTCCCATGGAAATGCACCCATAAAATGTCAATTACTATAGCATTTGATAAACAGGTATGCAGTCACTATGAGTAAAATATGTGAAAAACTAATGCATGAACTCCTTATTCTATGTATGTAGCGCTAAAATATTAATCCTGGACCAGAGTGAGTGCAGTTAAGTGTTGCATCATGAGGTGCCTACTAACAGCAACCTAGAAAGCATTATGTACTCATTGTTTATATCAATACATTATGTATACATTGATTCATAAATTTATCATAGCACATACTCACTGCACATGGAAAAAATCTCTCATTTATATCTGATGGTATTGCAAACTCAGATTGCTACTGTTAGAACAATGATCTAAAAAGAAGGATAAATTGGGAAGAATGGAGTAAGCTTACACCACAAAGTGGCACTGAAGCTGTACCAGCATGAGGACCCCCAATTGATATGAAATTCTTGACCTATCCCAAAAAGGAAGTTAAAACAAGTAGAGTATACAGACCACGAAGGGATTAATCATCAGTTGGAATAACAAGAACAATAGATAAGAAAGTTAGCTCAGTAGTTGATAAATAACAGGAAGCAAAGAACAAAAATCAGCTCACCGGAGGTCCACCATCACAGTACTCGATTACAGCCCTGCCAATTAAGTTCCCCTACAAAAGGAATAGATGAGATAGGGTCAGAAAATATAACTCCCAAACCCCAATCAGCATTAATAATCTCAGAATCTAGCGAGAGTATAACAGCAAATCAGCAATCAGTGAAACTTCCTGCTAAACTAACAAGCAAATTCTCAGAGCACACTCCAAACTTATGTGAACTAAAGCAGTTTTGTCCATATAGTTTTCACAAATAGTTACCAGAAATTCACAGACAGCATTACTACAAGTCAGTTATGATGCCTGAAAACCTCTTATTGCTAGTAATGCTTCTTATTTAAGTATCAAGATTTCATAGCTTTGCGTTAACCAAGACAGTGAAGAAATTTGCATTTCACAGAAACAGAATTAAAATAAGGAGACAGGAGCAGCAGAAAAGTACATCAAGAATAGATAAGAACATCTGAAATTATTGTCGTGAATCACAAATAGCACAGCACCACAAACACACCTGAGACAGGCCAACTATATTGTAACCTTCACTGAGTTCTTTCATTTTCTTGACCTGGAAAACAAATTCCAGAAATGGTACAGAACCTTGATGACTCAGTGTACAATTGAGAAAAGCAGAAGATGTTGCATCACCTTCTTGCAAACCGTATTTGCCTACAGATGAAAGTAAGATATGAGTATAATGGGGGAAAATCTATCCATTTTTTTCTCGAACGACGCAGGAGAGCTGCCATTTCATTGAGAGAGAGAGAAAGAGGGAGAGGCAAATGCCTGCTCCAAGTACAAAGGAGAGGCCGTAGCTTGCTCCCAAACACACCCGTCTCTACAAAAAAAGATGCACCACACACACCATAAAAAATTTATCCAGTTACAACTCTAAGTAAGAAACAAACCTGCTCTTGAAGTGGCATCAACCAAGAGTCCCATGCTCCTCTTCCAATTTCACTGAGCAACACAATTTCCATTATTAAATTAAGAATAAGCACACTATCAGGTTTTAAAAAAAAAAAAAAAAAAAAAGATTTACGCAATGCCCATCATAAGTCTTCTTTTAGATGTTATGTATAAAAGATAAAGAAAGTTGAGGCATCAATGCAATAGTAATCACTTGATATTAATGGCAAAGCAAACTAAATACTAACAACAGATAAGATGTAAACAACTAAATATCAAGGCAAATGTGCAGAGATAAAACACCAAAATATTTTCTAACAATGGTAGTGGGGTCTTACTTGGTACCCCATTTTATATCATGTGCTCAAGAAAACAGAGTTCACATATGGTATTTGTTGTCTTCTACAGATCAGCCATGAAGACACGACCTATCACTAAAGCTGTTTGCAACTTCTTTTGATGAAAATGCATTAAAAAAAAACTTCTTTTGGTGAAAGTGCATACAGGACTATTTTCATTATTGAATTTAGGATTACAAATACTCTACAGAAATCTTCCAACCTAGTTTACAACAGTTTTAACATGTTATGGTAAATTTTTCAATACATTCCATCAGCTTTGACAGAATATTGGAATATAATCCTAAAGAGATTCTCTTTTTAGGAAAGAGAACAAAGTTCAAATTACATTTTTTATATGTTACCCCAAACATTCATCCTGAAATTGCAGAGAAAAATAACAAACAAAACCAAGCAAGAGGCCATCGCATAACAAAATGTATTTAAAGAGATACCTTGGCGATGGACCAAGGATGGGAATTACTCCACCCGCTCGGCCTACAAAATTCAATTCAAAGGCTCGCTCGTCCCCTTCCGTACGGATTTGATTTGGAAAGCGCATGTGGAGAACAGATGCAAGATCTTCGCCTGGATCTTAGTGCAAGATAAAATTCTAACGGCGCAAAACCTACAAAGGAGAGGGTGGCCACACCAACAACAATGCGTGCTGTGCAACGGTCCCTTAGAGACCGGCCTCCACCTATGCCTATGTTGCCCTTTTGCAAAGGCGGTTTGGGATCAAATCCTCTTGTGGGAAAACTTCACTCAACTTCAACAGCAACCCCAGGTAGACCCCACCCATATCAGGTCATGGTGGGAAGAGGCGGCAAGGAAAGTGCCAAGATCTGAGCGTAGGCGGCTTAACGGGGTAGTAATCTACACCTTTGGGAACATTTGGAAAGAGAGAAATAGGAGAATTTTCGACAACAAGATAAAAACAGTGCCGCAAGTGGCCGCAAGGATAAAGAAAGACATAGAGCAAAGGAAGAGAGCACTCGCTTATGTTTAGCTGTTGTCCCCCCCCACGCTGTGGGCCCTGCGTTTCCCTCCTTTACTTGCTTGTGGGGGTTTGAAACCCTAATCTCAAGTGTCCTTGCTTGTACATAAACTTTCTTTCCCTATCTTAATTGAAAGGCAGAGCTCCTGCCATTGCGTTAAAAAAAATACCTTGGCATATATGTAGCACTACAGTTGTTTATTTATACTTGTAAAAAGAAAGCCAAACAAAAAACGTATTTAGATGAAAGCACCTGGTCATGCTAAATTTACAAGGGAAATAATAAACTATCCATATAAAAATAACAAATAATCCACACAAACGTGCTAGCATATAATGTTAGTTCCTTTTTTATCTATACATGGAAACCCATGTATACCTCAATTTGGAACATATATTTGTTGGTGTATATATGCAAAACAAACAAGCAATCGATATATAAATTCTAGACACTAGAGCGTTACCACAAAACAAAATTCACCCTACATGCCCTGAAATTCCTACATGAACAGGTAAACAAAGCCATTTATTACAAAGCACAATACCAACAACATCAAGTCTATATTCCCGACCACCATTTACTCTTCTCTAACAACACAACAGACACACCAGATATAGGATGATGTTTGGGTGGGACTTGGGAGAATGTTCTTTGAAAATTACTTATCCCATAATTTTTGGTATATGTGAAGACCAGAAAAGTTCTACTGTTTGCCAAATGGTGGGAGGAGGCAGCAAACAAGGTGCCAAAGATGGAATCCTCATTTACATTGTATGGAACCTATGGAAGGAGAGGAATAGGAGGATCTTCGAAAATGAACACAAAACGGTCCAGCAGGTGGCCTCATTGACAAAAGAGGATATCATGCAAAGACGCAGGGCTGTATCCTTTGATGGGTAAACACCATTAGCGGTGCGACATGCCTGTCATGTTCCGGTCCTAGGACCGTAGTGTTTGGCGCCAGGGGGTGCCTTCTGTACATAAACTTCTTTATCCTTACTTAATTGAGCAGCAGAGCTCCTGCCTTTTACTTCAAAAAAAAGAAAAGTTCTACTGTTGCAGAAGCAAACAGAAGAAACTGGAATTGAGGTTTGGACAAGCAGAGTGAGTGGAGTAGACTACAATGCAGGGCATCTTGGAGGAGGGGTTTTAAATGATCAGCGAGATGAAGTAATCTGGAAACTGGGAAATTTTCTACCAGATGTTTGTACGGATTGATCACATTCGGTGGATTGATTGACAAAAGAAATACTGATACCGGGCAAACCAAGTTGCCACCAAAAATTCAAATATTTTTGTGGATGATTTGGCATGATAGGATCCAAACAGCTGATCAGCTGGTAAAGAGGAATCTATGTGGGAAGGAGGAAAGTTTGGACCATGGTTTCTTCATATGTCCAGTGGCAGTGACAGCTTGGTGTTGGGTCAGAGATAGTTTCCATTGGGCTAATATCCCTGTTGGTCTCCAGTACTTCACTGAGCAACATATGGGAACTGCAGGGAGGAAGGAGAGTCAGTGGAATATTTTATCTTAGCTGGAGTTCGTTTGTCCTTGTGGAAAACTACGATTGATTGGGTTTTTGATAACTCATTGGTTAAATCCCCCAAGGTTTCACAAGGTGCTTGCCTTTCTTCAGGTCTGGAGGCTTCTTTGGAAGGAGGCATATCAAGCACAGGTGGAGCTTAAGATGATCAAGATGAATGCCTTTCTTCAGGTCTGGAGGCTTCTTTGGAAGGAGGCATATCAAGCACAGGTGGAGCTTAAGATGATCAAGATGAAGGAGGCATTAGTAGCATGGTGATTGGCGATTTGGCATCGTTCTTTTGCTGGCTTGCAGCTTGGCCTTCTTTTAGCTGTGTGCTTCATTTTTTTTTCTTTGTTCTACTAAGTCTGTTTAAGTTTCCAAGTTCATTGTTTGGATCACAGGTTCTATCAAGAACAAGATCTAGTTAAACCAGATTTGAGGCTAACCACTTAATACTCCATTTGGCGATAGCGGAAAACTTGGATAACCAAAAGTATGGTTTTGCTAAACTCCTACCTGGCTTTTAGAAACCGACTCCCATACCTCCTGTTTTGTGTTACATGCTGCTTCTTTTTTTTGTTCTTCCGTCTAAAATGAAAGAAAAGAAGGGCGGGCCTGGTGCAAGCGGTAGAGTCTTACCGCCTGTGACCGGAAGGTCCCGGGTTCGAGTCGCGGTCTCCTCGCATTGCACAGGCGAGGGTAAGGCTTGCCACTGACACCCTTCCCCAGACCCCGCACAGAGCGGGAGCTCTCTGCACTGGGTACGCCCTTTTTTGTCTAAAATGAGAGAAAAGTGATTTGGTGTGATGTAATGGGTCTCCACAAACACTCGTTTTAGTCTACAAATCCATAAGTCTGGATTTAGCTAAGTAAAAACCTTTTTTTTAGGAAGTTAGCTAAGTAAAAACCTAACCAAATTTCCTTAAAATCACAACAAAACCTGTTTTGTGGAAACTTAGAGGTGTTATTTTCTTTGTAGTGGAGTGAGTCGATGTCTGATTCCAGTGGCCTCTGTACCAAGTACCTTTGATGTAAGTATGTAACATGTTTTCCCCAGCATAAAGTTTAGTGTCTTTCATCAAGATATAAAAGTTGGACCAAAAGCCTCTTGGTAAAAATAAAATAAAAATAAAAATAAAAAATAAAAATCGGCGAGCCAAACGCAGAAGATCCTAAAACCCATACTGCAGGCCCCTCTTGTATCCTAAAAAAAACAAATCAAAACAACATAATTCAGAGAGAGAAGCCATTACATGCAGTAACCTTTGGAGCCGGACCACTCCCCAAGCATCTCGGTGAAGGATGCCAGGCCATCGTTCCCGCACTCGTCGCCAATCCCTGCACGCACCCCCGGGCACAGCCAACCATAAGGGATGAACCTAATCTAAGACCAAGAGAAGAAGCAGAATCGAAGTGAGGCACGCGAAACCCCAACCGTGGAGGACGACGAAGGGCACGCCGGAGGCCACCGGGGCGAGCACGGGAAGGAGTAAGAGGAGAAGAACGGCGACGGCGCGAGGTGGGTCCATCGGCGTCCGCGGCAGGGAGGGGAGCTAGGGCTTCGCCGTCGCGTCCCGCACCCGCCGTCCTCTCTTGGCGTCCGGCGGAGCGGAAAAGGGATTTGAGTCGAGCTCTGAGGATGACAAATCGAGAAGAGCAGAAGCGAGAGGCGGTTGGGTACTGTTGTCTGGCGGAGCCCGCACGTCAGAGATGTTAGTGGAGGGTTGGTGTGCTGGGCCGGGGCTCATTCACTCCGGTCCCGGTGGTCTGGTGGTTGGCGTGTTTCGCGTTGATGACGCCTTAACGGCTGAGCGAGAGCGGGAAGACAACTTTTGCAAATTGCAATGGCCCAACAAAGCCTGGCACGCGGGGCCCATACTGTACAGGACCACTCACGTTACAGAGCCTGAAACGCGGGACCCACGTTCCGTGCCTTCCATTTTAGATCAACACATCCTTCTTCTCTCCTATAAAAAAAAACATCCTTCTTCTCAGTCAAAAAGAAAAAAAAAAGAAAAAGATCAACACATCAACCACGTTGCTTGCAAGGGAAGATCGCGCTTTGCCTATTCTCCAAGTTTGTGGTGGATTTTAATCATGCTAAATTGCTAAAAAAGGAAGCTATTGCCCACGCAATTTGGTAACTATTTCACTTATGAATTTGAAGAAACTAGCTCGGATAGTTGGTGCTTCTAATCTAATCTAATTTTTACCCGGCGTGCAATAGCTCGATCGCTCGCTCTTTACCCTCGGCGCTCGCTCCCTCCCCGCGCAGTGGACCCGGACGTCGACTACTCCCTCGCCTCCAATCACGTGCCATCCCCTCGCGAGATCCCGCCTCGAATCAGCCTCCCTCCCCTAGTCCCCCTAGCCATGCCGCTGCCTCCTCTCCCACGCGCTCACCCACGCTGCCTCCTCCTCTCCCTACCTGCCGTGATGCCGTTCTGTCGCACTCACGCCATGGACCTCGCCGTTCACGCCCGCGGCGTCATCCTCGCCCACGCCGACGCCTCCTTTCCCTCCAGCTCTCATGGCAGCTGCTGCCCGCAAGGTCAGGTCTTTGGGAAGGACCCACGATGCCCGTGGCGTTGGGGGCTCCAAGGAGAGATCTCAAGGATGGTGTGAGGTCCGATGACGGTTGCGTCAGTTGGACCACCCATCGTCCTACGTCGCTCGGCCATGATTACACATCTCTGACGACGAGGGCATCCCTAGGGACTAGGGGCCACCGGTGCACCGCCTTCTCCTCCGACTATCTGCCTGTGCTGAGCTATGATCTCTGGTAACGCTGGCGCTGTGGCCCGCTGCATCCTCGACAATCTGAGACCTAAAGCAGAGTCCAGGCTCAGGTCATGCGTCATCCGATCCATTCTTGAACAAATATTTTTAACATTTCCTACTTTTGGGCTGGGATTGTTGAAAGCTCTAGTTTGGTTTTGGTGAATTGATGAAACCCTTAGTGCTAACCTAGTTTATCAAAGTGATCATGAGATAGGTAGCACATTCCAACGGGTGAAACAAATGAAGATCGTGACATGATGATGACGGTGATAGCATGGTGATGATCAAGTGCTTAGACTTGAAAAGAAGAAAGAGAAAAACAAAAGGCTCAAGGCAAAGGTATAAGTAGTAGGAGCCATTTTGTTTTGGTGATCAAGACACTTAGTGAGTGTGATCACATTTATGTTCGATAGCCGTACTATTAAGAGAAGTGAAACTCATATCGAAATGCAGTTATCAAAGTACCACTAGATGCTCTAACTCATTGCATGTGCATTTAGGATCTAGTGGAGTGCTAACACCCTTGAAAACATTTGTGAAAATATGCTAATACATGTGCATGAGGTGATACACTTGGTGGTTGGCACATTTGAGCAAGGGTTAGGAACTTCACCGGCAAAGTGTTCGCCCGTAGAGTGCGGACAGTCCAACGGTGCCACCGGCACCCTATACAGAAAGACGGAGGTCACTATAAGTGACCAGACGCTGGCCTCGGTTGGACCGGCGCGTCCGGTCAATAGAAGCTACAAAGGCGCTAGCGTCAGTCTCTGACCGGACGCTGGGTCACTTAGTGACCGGACGTTGGAGGGGTGCGTCGGGTCCTTCTGATGTGGCAGCGCACAGGGGAGACGCCGTGTGACCGGACGCTGGGTGTGTCCGGTCGAGCATGACCGGACGCGTCCGGCCGTGATTTCTTGCTTCTGGATGCTTACTGGAAACGACCGGACGCTGAGGTCCAGCGTCCGGTCACTTCACAGCAGCGCATCCGGTCATCACTTAACTGTTGGGATCGGGCGCTCTGTATTTGAAGAGAGGGGACACGTGGCGTGCATCGCGTGGTCGGACGCTGAGGTCCAGCGTCCGGTCAATCTGACCGGTGCGTTCGATCAGCCCGTGTTCAGTGCAGTGAGGAGCCCAACGACTCTATTTCGTGGGGGCTTCTATTTAAGCCCCATAGCCGGCTCAAGCTCACTCTCTTGACCATTTGCATTGACATAGCAACCTTGTGAGCTTAGCCAAATCTCTCCTACTCTTCTACATCATTGATTCATCATCTTTGTGAGATTGGGAGAGAATCCAAGTGCATTGCTTGAGTGATTGCATGTAGAGGCACTTGGTGTTCGTGTTTTGCTGTATGATTTGCTTGTTGCTCTTGGTGGTTGCCACCACCTAGACGGCTTGGAGCAGCGGAGGAGGATTGGCATGAGTTGCTGATTGTTAGTGGCCATCTCCGGTGATTGTGAGGGGATTTGTACCTTCCTCGGCAGATTGCTCGTGTCATTGAGTTACTTCACTTGTGGGTAGGTTCTTGCGGTGTCCAATTATGTGGACGAGGTTTGTGCAACACCTCTTAGCCGTCGAACCACCAAGTATTGGTCGACACAACGGGGACGTAGCGTGTTGGCAAGCATGTGAACCTCGGGAGAAAATTGGTTGTCTCTTGCCCTTTGATATTCTCCCGGTGATTGATAAAGTATTCATCTTGTGATTGTTTCACTCCTTCTACGCGACGGTATAATCACCGCACTTACTCATTTACATTTTCACAAACTAGCTATAACAAGCTCTTTAATGTAGCTAAAATTGAGAGCTTGCTTTGTGGATTAAGTTCATCTAGTGGAGCTCTTTAGTGTAGCAATTGTGAGAGCTCTTAGTAAGTAGTGACATAGTAAATTGTGTGCCTAGTGATCATAACAACTAGAATTGTTGGATAGGTGGCTTGCAACCCTTGTAGAGTTAGAGCTAGTTTGCATTTCGCTATTTGTTATACTAATCAAATTGCTCTAGTCGGTTTATAGATTTTTAAATAGCCTATTCACCCCCTCTAGCTATATTAGGACCTTTCAATTGTGTTCTGATTTTACATCACACAACTACCATCTACTACCAATACCCCATGTCGAGCTTTCCCAATTGAACCAGCGTGGACAGCGGCGGGCCCTTTCCTCCATGGAGCGACGGCAGCAGGACCAACGGGTGGGTGGCCTGTGCCAATGCAAACCAATAAGCCATGATGTGTAGGCTTTGTGATTTTTTCATGATGGCCACCAAACGAGTGTAGGTATTGTGTTTGGGAGAATTCTCCTGATTCTTTTTGTTTGGATTCAGCCATATGCATCATTTGCAGCCAGATGGATTGTCATCATCTCATATGAATTGTACAAGCCGTGTGATAGTATAGTTGGATCTAGGTTCAAAATTTTTGATTGATGCCATATTGTTCTTCAATAGCTTTCTTCAGTTAATACAACTTTTCCCTGAATTCTTGTGGTACTCATTGTGCCCAAGTTGTGATTGTTGTAGGCAAGCAGGACCATGAAAATTGAATATACTATGTGATTGATGAGTTGAACAGTATAGAACGTAATTAGAAAATAGTTGATTGGTATACATACTTAGATAGCAAGGTGACTATATTTCTGCCAGACCCTTATAATTTACTGAAGCATCATCATGTTAGTTAAATGCTACAACTTTCAGCATTCCCTGAACCATCATAGTTTTCTGACACGGGTAAATATCATAATTTTTTAGTGTAGTTAAAGAATATTTTGATAGTGCTTCATAATTTTCTAAATTTTGATCTTGTTGCTTAATGAGATTGTTTATCCTCTTTCGGTGCTAGTGACAAACTGCCTGTTTTCAGTAGCAGTGGCAGTGCTCCCAGTAGCTTGTGTCAGTGGCGACTACTCTAGACAGACATCCCTGCACGAGGTGGGTTACAAATGCTCCGCTTTGCTGTGAATTTAGAAGTTATGTTCTCTGTGATCTGAAATCAAGCCAGCCAAACTTGGCTGTCAAACTGACATGCAAGTCATAGAAGCTCTCCACATGGGAATATCTGCTGACTCTGTGCAGTTGTCAATTTTGAATCATCCAAAGATCTAGTTAAAATTTTATTTTTGTTGAGCCATGTTGAGAACAGATATGCACAAACTGAACACCAAAGGCTTTCTTGATACGAAATGCAACAATACAAAATCCGATGAGGTTCTTTAAGTTCTGTGTGAGATGCTGGGTAATTCTCAGTTTATTGTGAGATCTGACATGCTTGTCATCATTGGAGTTTCTCAGTATTTCTTCAATCCAGTTAATACGCAGAATTTCTTTAGTGATTCAGAAAGAAACTTACAGTGTTTGAGGGAATATTTATTTGAGCATGTTGATCTTTGGTTAAACCTCCATGTGCTTCCCTAAATTTGAGCATGTTTCTCCGATCTTTGGTTAAACCTCCAGTCTGCCTCGCCCGCCTCCACCGCGCTGCCTCCTCGCCGCAGCCGCCTCCAACGAGCCGGTGAGCCTCCATGACGAATGCTCTAGCAAGCAGGTGAGGGGAACGAGATTCATGTGACGCCACGCCCGCTTGCGAGTTGCCTGTGCCGCTGTCGCACAACGAGGTCCATGCGCCGCCGTCGACCTCCGTGCCGGCGTGCCTCCATTCGTCCAGGCAAAGCAAATGTTTCAGATGTTTCATCTGGATGTTGCAAGTGTTTTATCTTGATGTTGCAAAAGTAGATCGGAATGTTGT